GACATTGACGCAAGTGGAACGAGATTTTGCTCTTGCTATTCTCGAAGATGACCTTATCGACGAATTCGGTTTCCCTGGCTATTTTGCGCTTCGATTATCTTAAATACCTCGTCCCGATTATCCTAAAAGTAGAATCTGAAGGTCGTATTCTCTATAAACTTTTTATAAAATGACCTACGAAGGAAAGAAATTATTCCTCGGCAATTAGAAAAGGAAATCAGAAAAAATTCACTGAGGAATCAACCCGAATGACGAGCAACTTCTCCGTAGGATCGTAATACGCGTCTCCGCGGCATAATCCCGATGTATTTAAGCGGGCGATGGGATTGAAATCCAAAAAAAAGGAAGAACGAATCCGAGGGATATCCAGGAGGGTGGACGGGGAGGTGCGAGCGTCGCTTAAATTTATACTCGGCATTCTAGCTGTGGTCCCAGGGTAATTTTTTTTTTCAACTTCAACCTCGAGCGATTCTCTGCCTCCCTTCACCCACCCCTGCTCACTGGCTCTCGCGTTCTCTCCGCCAGTGGCCATATACAGAACGCTGGACAAACAACAATAAATACATTTTCCCAGGCGGGGTGGCAAACTCGGTGAGGGGTGGAACTTCCATGCGAGCACGTACGGGCATAGCTTAGCGTAATCTGACTGCACACCACCCCATTTCAACCACCGACCCTCCTCACCCCCGCGACGTACGCAAACCTCCGTTTACCCCTGTACTCCAGAAGACTGTGGCCACCCTCTCGTGGCGTTGGCGTACAGCGGTGCCACCATGGTGAGATGGAGAGATAGCGAGAAGCAGAGACAGTTGAATGAAAAAAAAAAAGAACGAAGAAAGGGAGGGGAAAAAGAATAAAGAAACATAGGAGTCGACAACGGAAGGCAGGTGAAGGGGAGAGGAGTTAGGTGGCACCACCACCTGACGAAAGAATTCCACGACCTGACTAGAATTTCATTAACCCCGGTCTGGCCAGAAGGGGACGGCAAATATGAAGAGAAAAAGAGTGGAGACACTGTGGGCGCGTTTATCGGCGCGAAAGAACTTGTTAAACAGACCGTTTGTCCGTTACGTCGTTTCCGTCGTTCTTAAAAGGTTTTTCGACGAAAATTATCCGGAAGGATGACTGCTCCTACGACCGACCAGTCATTTTTCACCGAGTTCTTGGATGTATCAATTTCATTCGTTAAACCACTCCGACCAGTTGAAAAAAAAAACACAATATCCCAAAAATTTCGCACGCAAGAGGTCGCATCAAAGAAGATCGAATCTTTATTTCGTTTTATTAAATCCTTGTACGGCTTGGATCGTTTCGCGTGACTCTCCGCTTTCCCGTCGGTCGTTGGACGAAGCGCAAAAGTTTAAGCGTCGTTCTCTCAGCGGGCGTGTTTTCGGTCGACACCGACCGTTCGGAATGCTAATGCGTGATTACGGCGCGACCGTGGTCGTAATACGTGAACTTTTTGTGCGACTCACGTGTGCCGGCGGTCCGCTTAAAACATCCCTTAAATTACCCCCATTAGCAAGGGCTGAATGCTGGGTAAACGAGGATTTCAGTGGCGCTGTTACGCGAGATTTATTCCGTAGAAAGTATTCCTTTCGCCCGTTAAATTACATCGTTACGAACCACCCCTTCCGTGACCGGAGGCTGACCTAAACACGCGTGTAAGCCGATTTCACCAACGCGTCACGTTAAAAACAAAAACTAGATCAGCCACGGATAACGTCGAGCGGTCCGATCAAAATTTTCGTATTACGACAGACGTTCGTAAAAGTCAGAAATCTGATTAGTAGAATTCACGGTTGGGTGCAAACGGACAAAAATACAAAGTGACCCGTAGACGCCTGTTTGTCAACGCGACTTGTATAATTTCCCGGAAACGAGCTCGAGTACGAGGTACCCATTGAACAGGGGAGAAGTACTGAGAACGATTTACAGAATTTAAACAGTCTCCGGGGATAAGGTGGTAGGTAGCATGGCAGGTCGGATTAGCAGGCTGCCGCCGTCGAAATAATTCCCCCTCTTGCCTTCGCTTGGCCACCCCCTTCGGCCTCCAAGGGAGGTTACGTCCTTCCTGCGGGATAAAACAAAACAGCCAGCGGAGTATATTAATGCTCGGCTTAATGTGGCCCGCCTAATTAATGGACCGACTCACCGGATGCCCGTACACTCTCTCTCGTCCTAAAAGTAAAAGATAACGCTTCCGCGCCGGTATTATTAAAGACAAAAGCACCCTGCCGTTAAAAGGTAGAAGTTGGAGGAATTTTTGTAACGGTTACCTTCTCTAGACGCAAACGGAACATCGAAAAAAAGGGGGCGGACGGAAGTGTCCTGTGCTCTTCGACGCGTCGCGACGTCTGCAGCATCGCAGGAGAAGAGTACGAGGGGGGTGGGAAATATTTCGTTTTTCCGCGGAACAGATTCCAGGGGTGGTGGCTCTGGGAGTGTCGCGGATGCTACGAGGGCGGAGCCTTGAGAACTGCATCGAGACTGCCCAGTTACGTCGATAAATAGAAAGACCTCCTTTCGTCGGTTTTCTCTTAGAGGAAACGCAAGTTTCCTTTCCCTCGAGTGTGTGCCAGTAAGAGAAAAATATTGCAAAGGCAAAAACACCGTCCGAAAGTTTTAAACGCTAAGTTAATAAACAGTAATTGAGTATGAAGAGTGAAAGGATACCACGATAACCACTGGACAAACAGAAAAACGAAAAATTAAAACGAACAGGGATAGATTGCATGGGAACAATCAAATTACAGTTAGGAAAATGGTTAACCAAGAAGATCCACCGATTGGAGGACATGTTGGCGGTCGTCGAACATGTACGAGATAATCGAATTATCGTCGCTTTGAGGAGCAGCGTCCGTGGATGATCTGATCACGTACCTGATGAACAGATCGCCAGCGATGCGAGCCGCTTTCGAAGGGAAACCTCTCGTTATGGACCCTTCAACGTTACGTTCCAACGAACCGTTTCCACTGTGCTCCGTTGGCTTTTCGACGATAGTTACTTCTACCGAGTAATTAAAGCCACGCGAAGCACGAAAAGGTAGCAAAAATGGTGATGCACAGTGGTGACTAAACGGCATAAACACGTTGCATCGTTATACAATCGCGGAAACACGTCGTCTCGTCATTCAATTAATCGCGATGATCAGCGGACTGGTTTCTATAGTTCGTTGACGAACGATTTTAAAGGCTGCACGTCCGCGAAAATTTACGGAACAAAGTGGAGATTGACCGACCGCATAGGGTGAGCGAAGGTTTTCAGGATCGTCGGTGGTATTCAGGTTGGTTTCCGCAGGAATTTCTGCGGTCGGATTCCGCTATGCCTAACTCGAAAATACTTTTGTTATTATATAGAATACACGATCTCTGTTCGTGTCTCAAAGAACACGATTCCTATTGCTTTAGGAACGTTGAAATGCTACGCGTTGTATTCTTATCCATTCAAGAAGCTAATTTACCCGAACGCGAATCAAATGGAATCATTGTTACTTTTCAAATCCATGGGATACAGAATTTTGTACACGCTAGGAAACATGTATTATTAATGGTAATACCCTTCAACAACGGCATATTAACGATGACTTTAATCAACCCATAATAACAATAAAATATATTAACGTCCGGCACCAATTTATCGAGGGGGAGACGTTCGATCGTTGGGCAATTATTATGTGGGAAACTTTGCGCGCATTCGAATTTAATAGTTCGCATAATTTACCTGGCCAGTTAGTTATTCCATTAATCACTGCACTTGTACGAATATAAGCTTACGCATAATAATTGTATCGTTATTTATATCATATTCGACGGTTGGGTATACGGATACATAATGCATTCAACACAATTAATTAACTCGCCTCGAGGTAATACGAACAAATCGAATCCGTTGTATTCAGTAAGAGGCAATGATTATTTTACAATGATTATAGAGGCAACTATTTTACCGAGTGTTTCTAGTGTTCAAAAATAGTCCTTAATTTCATAGGAAATCAGAGAACGATATCGTTCGAAGAAACACATGAGTTTTTAATATTCTAGTCTTTAATAATTAGCGTATCAAAGGCACGGTATTAATATTTGCTTCGAAGTCTGAACCGCATAGAAGATATTAACGTCCCCGTGATATTGTGTCCAGGCTAAGGGGAGAGGACATATTGAAACCGCATAAACTTTGCTCATAGCATCCACGGTTACTCGTAAATATACCGGGTGGCTAAAATCGAACGCGTCACAGAGGACTTATTCGAAAGCATTATAAAAAGATTCTTTCATTGTAGTAATCCATATATTAAGAATTGAATAAAAATTCCATTCCATGACTCATCCAGCAAAAAGACTCGTTACACATGTTCCATTACCGGTAAACAAGACTTAAAATAAAAGAGAACGGTAGAAGTTAAACGGCGTCGATTAAATGAACGTTAATCCCTGAAATTTCGTTTAAACGGCTCGCAGGGGTGGATTCTACATACGTCTTCGGGCGAAAACAATTAATGTTTATCGGGAAGCTCGCACAGCCGTTACCCTGGACAAGCCGGCGGTTGTTTCAGAACCGTTGGCGCTTAAACACGCGCAATAAGCGAGGAGAGGGTCAAACTAATTCGATTCTAAACTCTGACCGCATCGCGAGAAAGAGACGAGCAGTTTCTGGGACGGGGGTGGAGAAAATCCACCCCCGCAGAGGATGGACACAGATGGCACTAACCGCGCCGTTAAATTCTGAACCTGTAGCTCTAATTGCTCATAGACAAGCGGACGTTCTAGTGCCAGATGCCGTTGAAACTTGTTAAAAGCACGCAAACGCGATTACTCATTCGATTCTGTACACCGCGTTCCTCCAATGATTTACCGCGTTGATTAATCGACAACGTGGCAAAATTAATTGGCCGTTATAATATAACGCAATAATAATAGTCGTTAATAACAATTCGTAACATCGTTGCTCCATTATGCTTGCGTTCGATTAAAATTGCATGGTTTTTGTTGGCTTTCAGGAAATACAAAGGCGACATCCAAAGGGTGATAAAAAATGACGATGGATGTGAGTAAAAGCGAGCCGAGCAAGAACGGGACTGTTCAACAGGAATGCGCTGGTTGTGGAAAAGTAATTACGGAGAGGTAAATTTCATTAATACATTTTGTTAGAAGATAAGTATCTTATATAACAGAAATTTGTTGACCTTTAAATTAAAGGTACCTTCTGAAGACATTGGACATGTTCTGGCACGAGGATTGCTTAAAATGCAGCTGCTGTGACTGCAAACTCGTGGAAGTTGGCTCGACCCTCTACACAAAGTCCAATCTCATACTGTGCAAGAAGGATTATCTAAGGTAAAAATTCTGATGATTCCTGGTTCCATAAAAATTAACACGTCCGCTAATTGTAATCAAATCAGAAGCTACAGTTTGACTCGAATTGTGTCCCGTGTTTCGCTAACTCGAATTACGTTCTCCGAAACACGTGTCGCCTAGTCGACCGTAGAGATCAGAGTAATCGTTGATCTATCGACTCGCAAATTATTGGGGTACTGATGGGTACGTCACGTATGCGCCTAAGGAGGCCGTCCGTGGAACGCCACTCCTTGGCCTATTCTATACCCACACTATCAGGATTCCTTGTTATGCAACCGAAAGGAATATGTACGGTTACAAACACATGTATCCGTTGAAGAATAGGAAATCCAGTATACTTCTAATTTAATTGTCGTACAAGTGTCTCGACGTTCGGTATCTTTATTATTATGCACTCGTGGCGGGACGTCAATAGAGGGTAAAGAGGAAAAGGGGAAGTCGAGCGCACGTACGAATAGAGGAGAGCAGGGCAGACCTCGCCACAGCGAACGGAAGCAACAAATCGAATTTTACAGATGAGTTTCCCTTATTGAATACACCGACGTCCCATATAAACAGGAGAGGGCAAATAAACCGTGTTGAGATTACAAAGTCCCCGAGGGAACACGCGCAGGTGGCGCGTCTGCAAAGAGCGCTCGCTATCGTAGCTACGTGGCCTTTATTAATGGCCCAATATTTGAAGATGGCATATTCGTGGTGGTCGTAAGCTTATTGCTTGCCATCGTAAGCGAACTAAAAGTCTCTTCTCCGAGCTTAATGTCATCGACAGCAGGGATACGGCTCTCGCCAATCATGTGATTCTCAGCAAGTGCCGGGAGGGAAAAGAAAAGCAATATCGTTTCGAAAACATTATTATAGACTCAGCGAATTTCTCTTCCAAATAGAATTAGTAATCTTTTTATTTTTCTTTCTCGATTGCGCAGACTGTTCGGAAGCAGCGGACACTGTGCTGTGTGCAATAAAATCATACCGGCTTTCGAGATGGTGATGAGGGCAAGGACCAACGTGTATCACCTGGAATGTTTCGCTTGTCAACAGTGCAATCACAGGTAAGAGACGTGAAAATATTTATTCCAATAATAATTTATTTGCCTGTTCGTATAATCGGAGTAGCAGTGCAAGTTTCAGTCGCGGCTGGGGTATTATTTTATTAGATATAACGAGAGGCGGTGATTAAACATTCACACCCGAGGGTGGCAAGAAAGTCGCTGGTTTCTGCGAAGTATTCGTCGTGGCAGCTCATCCGTATAACAATTTAATTCGAGCCAACCCGGCCGTGTGCCTAGGGGGGGTCTCGACGAAACTTCTGCAGCACTTCGCAACACTTCGCTTACTTATTCACAACAACCGAGTTAAGCTCGAAGCTCGTTCGAGTCTGCGTTTAAGTCGAAACACCTCGGTGAATCCGGCGGATGGAGATAATCGGCGCAAGAATCGAGAAGCCGCGAGTTAACGTCGCGTTTTCTCGCCGGACCGGCTAATAACACTGAATTAATTACACCGAGCTTTTCATCGTATTTTCCATTATATAACGCGGTACGTCGTTTATAATTAAGCAAAAACGTTTTAACGGATAGGGCTGTCTGGTCAATTGGAAAAGATCGAAGGTAGCAGACTGCGAGGGTACGCTTGATAGAAATTGAAATCCATGAAAAATGGATTAATTATAACTATAACGAAGAGACTGGTCGTTGAAATTTCCCTGACGGGCATTAACTGACGCGAGAGAGGTGTGGAGGGCCGTTGAGACATCTAGGAAGAGAGGAGATCCGAGCGGAAAGTCAGAGTTGCGAACTATGCGAGCGACGTGTAGGTGCCTCGAGGTGTACGTCAGATGCAAATCATGCTGACTAATTTCCTGGAAAACTAACGAATCGCTGCCGGGCTCAGGCCAAATATTCGTTGTTCGCGGAACGTTCTCACGTAGCCGGCTATCGATAATCCGAAATTAGCAAATTAATTAATTCCTCTGCTGGAATTATCATTTCAGCGATATTCGATCCCCGAGCGTTATGGCTAAATTAACGAGAGTGCATCGATCGTTTTGAAAGGTTCGAAAGTAAAAGGGAGGGTTGCTTTTCTAACAACGTAGGTCGAATTTTAGAGGGACTGACACGGTATTTCGCGTATCTAATGTCAGGTCATGGCATTTCTCTGACCTTTTCTTATTTCGTCTGCTTCCGTTTGGGATTAACAGGGCTACGTTTGACCGATATCAGAGTGTCGTGCATCGTATGGATACATTGAGCTACACAAGGAACAGAAAGTTCCTTTCTGTGCGATTGTCATCAGGATTAATCGGGTTGGCCGTGTTCTTTGCTGAATTTAAAGTATAATCCGCTATTAAAAATAGCATTTTTTACCGTGTAAGCGACTCGTATCACGAGCGGCCCGGTGAATAAGAATAAAAGAGGAAAAGAAAGGTGGGCATGGAGCAAAGGTTAGCAACTAACCAGGCATGATCTCAACAAGCACGTGACTATCGAGCGAAGCCGATTACTGCTTAAAGATACGTCGAAAGTATACTTTCTTTCGTGGTCGAAGGTAACGTGCAACCCTTAAGGCGAACCATTGGTTAGGGGTCGAAGCGGTTGACCGTAGGTAAAGCGGAAACGGATGTGGCCGTTGGGTCACGCGATCTCCACGAGTCAAGCATAAAACACCTGAGTTGTTTAATCATACGCTCCTAAGCCGAGTCGTACATCGTAAAATCGTAAGGGTGGCTTTCCTTCTATTCTGCTCTCTTTTTCTTCCAATTTTCGATCGCTCTCTTCCATTTGCTGTGTTTATCAATTAACAGGTATGTTCCATCAAAGGCATCCCTGCCGATTAATTAACCATTAATTAAGGCAATTTTCTTGTTCAATGATTTGTCATTGATGCAGTGATGAATAGACTGTGGATGTTTATGTATTTATAGCATATTATGAATTGAACATTCCCTCGCAAGACATCCCATGATAGGTGGATGAGTGGCACTTAAGATTGTTGGAAGATCTCGAACAGAAGACGTCTAAGCTTTTTCAACCACCCACCCAACTGTCGAAATGTTAAACTCGTCTTTTGTCTATGGAATCAGAGAAGTCATTGTCGAACGGCTGTATAGCCCATTGTTCGTGCTTATATTGTACTTAGGTATTACGAGTTTGCCCAGTTTAATTGTTATTGTTCCTCGTACCGCTTATCGAACACGCTGCTCTGTTGCATTCCCACGCGAGTCATCGCGAAGCCTGGTAATTACTCGAAAATCATTAAACTTTCACGGCCGTATACTTCGTGCTGGGAGCAAGCAACGTCATACATCATTAATAGAAACGTTTCCGGATAATCTTTCAAGGCTTGCGAAACGGAAGAGAGAAATGAACGATCTCTCAACGATATCCGCGATGTTATGACTATATCTGCGGACAAACGAGGCACCCCTCGTCTCGTGCGTGCGTTTCGATGTTTCCAAGCGAGACGTCGGCAAATCTGCACAATGCAAACTTAACTCTCGCGTTACGAATTCACGCTCTTGAAGGAGGGCGATAGGAAAGAGTGGGTAGGTAGGTAGGTTGGCTGTTAGGTGGGTATAGGAAGGTCGTGCAGAGTGGAAAGAGGCGAGATTCGCGTAGAAGGGAGCGGCCATTTTGTTTCCGGTGTCCCGGGACCACTTCCGGTCACCGTCACGCAGTTCTGCGTCGCCAAGTGCCCTCGAGCTCCTGAGATCTCCTTCCACGATTATATTCAAATTAAATGCGGGAGTCTGACCGGTAATATACTGCCGCCAATTTAGCTACAACCCCCCGGAGGGTGGTTCGCCTTACCTCGTTCGCTAACCATCCGACTTTAATGCCCTCGAAGAATCCCGCGAATCGTCGCTGCTATCTGTTCTAACGTTAAACTCCTTACCATTATACGAATCGAAGGTATCTTCGTCCTAGCAAACGGGTTTCGTCGAACATCACGAATGCGCTTTTGCGAGTCGGACTATAAGCTATCGTCTGATAACCGAACCGATTTCGACCCTCGCCCGTTCATCGTGATAACGACACCGTAAAATCTGATAGTTTGGTACCGGACATCGGTAATCGTACACCAAAGGCATCGATCAGAGAAGGAAATTTCGATAACGGACGAAAAACAACACCGGTCGGACTTTTGTGATCGTCAATAAACGCGCGACAGACAAGGAATTCGCTTCCGGTTTTCGATGCAAAGCTTGCCCGCGTATCGCGTTCAAGCGCCGCTGCATCCGAACAGTGGGGTTTCAGTTGCACCATTTTCAATGGTGATAATCCGACGTACCGAGGGCCTCGTTGCACGAACCGAACCAGCTTTGTCACCGGATAACCTAGACTCGCATTGCCGGCTCCGGTAGCGACAACGATAGACACCCACCCACCCGCACCCCTTTCCCGCGATCGCTGCTCCTATTCCTCCTCCCGTTCCACCCCCTTTTGCCAGCCCGTTTCATCCCCTTCGTTGAAACTGCCTTCGATAGCGGCACCACGCTCGCGCACAAACTCCTCTCCGATTCAACGCGATACACAAACTCCCTGGTAATAGACGTTCCGGCGCGATTATAAATGAAACGCGTGACACGTGGGATCGAATTACTTGAACGATCGACGGATTCGACGATGAAACGATCCTCGGTCCGCGGAAAATCGAGAGCTGCACGATTTCATCGTAACGAGCTCGCGTTCGTTTTGACGCTGCTATGTAACATTGGAAAATCTGTAAATTCTATGAAATATGTGATTCTCAAAGTGTTAATACATAAAACGATTCTATTGAAAAGGTTAAACGTTTTTCAGTCGTAGATGAAATACACGATATTTGATAGCTAAGACTATGATAGTGCATCGAGCGTGCTTTTTACGATTACACATGTACCCTTCTATGTTGTACCGGTAGCGCACAAACACGCAGACTACACACACGGTAATCCGAGCTAAAAACTCTCGTGAGTTTAATTGAACGCGATAACCGATACAAATTGAACAGTGCGGTCAAATGGCAACAGGTTCGGTAGCAGCATAGCCGAACCCGAAGATACCAAATAAAAGGTTAGGATGATCCGGTCAAACGAAGGAACAAACAAAATCCGCGATTCGAACCGTAGAATATTAAACCGAGAGATCAATTTTTTCATCGAACCAGCTGAAAGAAAAAAAAAACAGACGTTCGATTCTACATATGTAGAAATGTTCATTTCATTTATTAGACCGAAGGAAAACAAACCCCGTTTGCTGTAAAATACAAACTTCGAACTCTAAGGAAAAACGAATATCAATTTGACCTGTGAAAAATCTGTCTGATCATCGAATTAATTAGCATACAGAATTTCTGATAATCAAGAAACTGTTTGCACGAAACGTTAATCGATCGTCCGGCTCGTGAAACGTGGCACATTTCACGCAGCCGGCACGGATTGTTCGCCCGACGGTGCTTTTGGCGCTAACAATACCGCAATGCACAGGTTGGCCTAATAAAACTATGATCGCCGGATAAAACAGTGCAGTGCATGCTGGTAATTAGCGGTATACATAAATCATTGGCAACGTAGCACGTAAATGCATACATACAGAGAGGGTAACATGTACTCGCGCCCATTTACAAAACCCTCGCACCCTTCGGCGTCGATGGTCGAGCAAACGAGACAGCCAATGCGTACCTACAACACACTGGATACGCAACGTTACAAGCTTGCACCACGTTGAATCTATCATTTTGTTTTCCCGAAGTTAGTTTCTGATTTTTTTTTTCTTTTTCTTTTGACCCAGTAATTTAAATGTGATTCTTCGATAAAAATACTGAAAAGAAAATTGAAATTTCAATTTTAGATTCAATCAGTTGAGACAGGTGGACAAAGAGAGGAAGATAAAAAGTAGAACAAAAAGTGATTACGCTTATCAGAAAGAGCGAGATGGCTCTTATAACGTCATAATTAATTCGGAGTTACCGGCGGTACCGGTGTCTAGACCTAAGCCTCGGGATTTTTGAAGCGCTCTCATGCAAAGTGATGGCTTAATCTCCGGTTTAAGGGGCCTTGTTAGAAAATGGA